GCATCAATTTGGTACTCCTCTGCTAACGAGGTAGAAAGGGGGGGAGGGAAGAGCAATGACCAGCGGGACAACAGCATGTATGGGGAAAAAAAGGAGGGGGTGGCCCTGGGCTTGAGTGATTTTTTGGATCTTCATCTGCCCTTCATTTTTTTTTTTCTTACTCTTTCCCTCTTGAATCACTCCCCCGATTCCTGCTTGAGAGTGGAGTGGGTTGGTTGGCAGGCAATCCATTCGTCCTCTTTTTTACCAAGAGCCTCTCGTCCCACAACCTACCGTGTTTACTCCTCTTCCCAAGGCGATGATGGAGATCGTGTAAAAAAAACTACAGAAGAGTTTGTTATCGTTTAACGGGAAGTTTGCTCTCACGGAATCTACCTCCCGCTAACCCGCCCCCCCCCCCCCTTTCCACTATCTCCAGTTGATGGGGCGAGCATTTGTCTCGTCAAACGGGTTTACCCTTTCAAAATTACCATCGGGAAAGTTCCCCCACCCTCTCCCTGAACCAAGAACCAAAATTTCATCCCCGCAGTGCTTCCAAGGCAGCTGCCTATTACCGCGATAGTATTAGAATGAGCCCCAAATCGGGGGAACGCCCCCCCCCACATTCCGACTGCTGGGCACCATCACGGAATCTCCTGAAAAACCACGCGAGTGGGTGTGGCCCGCGAAACCATTGGGAAACATTGAGCGAGTGATAATCTATGACTTATCACAGGGCCGGACTGTCTTGGCGCTGCCACCTGACACAACGTCACATTTCGCCAAACCGAAAGGTAAATGAAAGGCAACCGAGCCCAAAAAACAAGATTGCAAGAAAAAAAGAGAGAACCCCGTAATTGTGATCCAAAGCGAAGTACTGTACTGTACTAGTGGAACAGAAAAGAAAAAAAGAGTACCGTACAGCTGTTCAACCCCCTCTCTCACTGCCCCCGTCTGCCATTATTGTCCGTTCGTTGGTCTCTCCCTCTCCTCCTCTTCCCCCCCCAAATACAGTTTCTGTCTGTTCGTGCCAACAACCCTCCAATCCCCCCCCCTACACGGGGCCGCAATCCACACCGGTGCAACCCTAACCCTGAGTGGGTGAGAGGGGAAGGGCAGTATGGGAAAGGAAATTTTTTCACTCAAAAACCGTAACCTCAATCGAGAGTATCATAACAAGTGCTTTGTTTCGGATCGTGTCGCCATGAGCAACTGCCCCGTATGATATCGGCCCTGATATACATAGAAAAAGGCAGAAATATGGCAAGAAAATAAGAAAATGAAAGGCCGTTACCTCGCCCAGCGCAACCACCCCCTGAGCCGGAAAGACATATGCTATCATAATTATAAGGAAAAATACACCATATCCGCTGTTTCGCTTGTTTTCCTGTGGTGGCGTTGTTGTTCATGACATGACAACGAAGCGAACGAACGAACGAGCTGCCACATCCCCACGAAAGAGTGAAAAGAAAATCCCCGAGAGGTATCGTAACCAATTTCCCCCTATATCACAGCTTCAGACTCCTTTCCCAACATCGTCATCACCACCAACATCATCGTCGTCACGACAAAAAAAATAACGAGTTAACGCATAAACCGCCCGTGCCAGATAAAAACTCGCCAAGTGCGGGTATCTGGAAGGTGGTTATTGGACCACTCCCTTTTGCTCACCTTCCGGCCACTTTTGGTCGCCTAATTGTGTTAGTTCATGGATAATCACTCGACTAGGTCCTGTGGCTGTGCGTGAGGGCGACAACCGAGTACACAACAACATCAACGGCTCTGCCCCATCACATCCGTCCAGTCCCATCAACACACGGATCTTAGGGCGACTATGTGAAGAAGAAAAACTGTTCAAAAGTGCATTCTTGACAACAGCAACGTTGAAGAAAGGAAGGTGGTATGTTTGCAAAGTTTTAGCTAAATATGATGTTTGGAGTGTACGCGATTTCACCCGACGGGGCGGGGGTGGGGTGGGGGGGATGTTTTTTTTTTTTTTTCATCCCTCCCCCGCTTTCTTTCGTTCCTGGGAGTAACTATCTAAGCGGTGAGGTTTCGTTATTTGGTACTATCCTTGGGATTTTTTCACCGAATGGCTTTTCGCGTTATTTGCGCGGTGCTAGACGGTGGGAATTTTTATTTGTGTGCGGGGGGGAGAGGGCGGTATCTATCTACGCGTTT